ATTGTTTTAATAACACCAAACATCAGCCAAGCGGCACAAATGCTGGCCGACTTCGACCGTGCGTGTGGAAAGGTCGGTCTACAGCTGAATCTTACAAAGACAATGTTTATGAGAAACAGCCTCGTTCCTGAAGCCCCATTCACTCTCAATGGAACAACCATCTCCGAATGCAACAGCTATGTGTACCTAGGTCAAGAAGTCAACATGACAAATGACCTGGCACCCGAGCTGCGCAGGAGGAAGAGAAAGGCTTGGAACGCCTTCAAGAACATCGAAGAAATAGCTAAGAGGATGAAGAACCTCCGGCTCTGGGCACATCTCTTTGATTCCACTGTTCTTCCTGCATTAACATATGCCTCAGAGACCTGGGCCCTAGGCAAACAAGATGAGAACGCTATTCAGGTCTCCCAAAGAGGAATTGAAAGAGCTATGCTTGAAATATCACGTTTCACTCAAATGAGAGAAAGAATCCGGAGCTCCGACATCCGTCGACGATCAGGGACTCTGTCTCGTTTGCCAAGGTGTCAAAAATCAGATAGGCTGGTTACATAATGAGATTTAAAGATGACCGCTGGACTAGAGCTGTTACTGACTGGATTCCATGGGATGCAAAAGATCGCGTAGCTGCCCACCTACCAGATGATCAGACTTCTTCATTGAGATCATGAACAATCGGTTTGAGGCTCTTCATGTTCCTAGAGCGAACAGACGCCATTGGGCTACACTAGCATGCAACAGGGACAAATGGAGACGTTACTGGCGCCCGCTCGAGCAAATCGCCGATTAACGAGAAGTCATGTGATCAAGTGATCAAGTGATGCTTTGTATAAAATCCTCATGTCGTCTGAGTCCACATTTGACTGTAGCCCTCCTACACCAATGTTAGGCAGACCTTATATAGCCAGTTAACAAAGGGGTCTGTCTCTATAGCCTGATGTGCTACTGTTGGCATGTTATGTAACTGAGGTCCCATTCTCCTCAAAAGCCCACCCCCTCACAGGTTGCCCATTCATGTCCAGGCCTGCCACTGGCAACCTCGAATCCTTGGTAACTCAAGCGCACAAGTATTCTCACCACTGTCATCCTTGAACTCTCAGTTGTCCTATAGGTGCAGTCAAACGAGATACACAGACACCACCATGCACTCACAAGCTCTCATTCTGCCTCCATCACACAGGCCTTCTGAAACTTGGGGAATAGGTGATTCCAAAAGGTGTGATCAAATGTGGCAGAGCAACGTGGTCACAGAGAATCCAGTTCTCCAGTCAGTACTCCTCAAAATTGTGTAAGTGAACCAGGCATTAGCAGTGCTGAACCTCAGCTTGCCTTGGTCAAATACGACCCAGAGGGGCCCTTGGGTACTTTGAGTTGATACACTCTGTCCAGAAAAACTTGACTCGCTGCAAGGGTGTATGTAGACATTGATGATTATCAACACTTGGCTGCAACATAGGCCTGCTGAAATGAGGCGCCAGAGGCTTTGTAAAAACACTTTCAGTATCATATACCACAGGATGCGATTATGGTCTGAGTGATCTTGGACCTAAAGTTGCTGCCTGATGTTGCTGGCAAAAGCAAACTCCCTTGCAGCTACACAGGACGATCATGCTATAAAGGCTCTTGTGGCCATGAGATCCCAACTGCTGCCCTGGCCTGCCTACTTCACTTCAACACCACAGCTGCTGCTGGGAACCAACAGCTGTGAAACTTGGGGCACTGTCCAGACACACTCAACTCCAGCACCATAACAGTTTCAGGGCATCCATAATCACAAATGCACAGTGGTTATCTAGAGAAACTGAGAATCACAGCCTGGATCTGTGATTGTGGTACCCACTCTTTAGCCTAGGACTTCTCCCATACAGATTTGCACCACAGCTCTGGATTAGTAACAGGCATGATTAAGAAACATGAGGAAATTATGCTGTCAACAGACTTATCCCAATGAACATCTCAGATTTTCATTCCTAACTACTATCCCATCAATTTATCAATGGAGTACACAGAAAGCTTCGTCAATAACTACAGAGAAGCACCTATGCATATAATAAATGATGCTGAAAACAGTCTACCTTGATTTTCAGTATTAGTGTTCACAAAATGGAAGGCAAGGAAACAAACTCTAACACTTCTGGTACTATTGCAACGACATAGACAGGACTGTGTTATGTTACTGCTCAGCATGGGCAGATGGTCTAGTAGATGCCTTTCTCCTAGAACATTCCACAGGCATTCTCTCTAAACTATTCACAATGGGAATTTGTGAAAAGAGCTACTAAAGCAGATTTGCAACACTACTAATCATACATTTAATGCTTTGTTTTATTTGGGGGTTCACACTTAGTGAGGCTCAGGGGTTACTCCTGTCTCTGCACTCAAGAATTACTCCTGGTAGTGCTTGGAGGACTATGTGGAAAGTGGGAAATCAAACTCACATGCAAGGCAAGCATCCTACCCACCAGTTCCTAAATCATGTATCTTCCTTCCTTCCTTCCTTCCTTCCTTCCTTCCTTCCTTCCTTCCTTCCTTCCTTCCTTCCTTCTCTTTTCCTCCCTCCTTCCTTCCTTTTCATCCTTCCTTTCTTTCTTCCCTGTCACCTCTCACCCTCCCACTCTCACTCTTTCTTGGCATTACTGGGAATCATATGGGATGCTTTTGATTGAAATGAAGCCAGCTGCATGCAAAGCAAGCACCTTACCCGCTGCACTATCTATATGACCAATTGTTTTGTTTGTAACCATCTGATAAGTTATTATTTTATGTTACACTGTATAATGATTTCCTGAACTATATGCCTCAGGAAATGAGTCCCACAAAGGTTCAAGAATCTATAATACTTCTCCCCGGCCCCGACGTGACCCCGAGATGCTGCCTATGGACGGCCCCTCCAGCTGATTCTTAAGCTCTTTAGGTCATGATCCAAGAGACACAGGAACAAATCTTAGAACCCAGTGGCTTTTGGTAGAAATTTCTCCAGACTTAATTATTAAAATTTCAGAATCCCAAGGTATTGTAGCTGTGCAACATCATATGCTATTCATAATCAGAAATTGAAAACAAATTGTCTAATATTGCCTTTTAGGCAGGTCTGAGTGTTGGGGGAAAATTCCAAATAATAATGGTGTCAAAATTTGAATGTAATCAAAGTACAGCGAGAGTAATATGGAAATTATCTGCCACACAGGTAGGAAGAAGAGGTGGGATGGGGAGTATATTGGGGTTTTTGGTCATGGAAAGTGTGCACTGGTGAAAGGATGGGTGTTTGATCATTTTATGACCAAGACTTAAACCCGAAAGCTTTGTAACTGTGATTCAACAAATTAATTTATAAAAAAAATTATAGAAATAAATTTTATCAAATCTTGTATGCAGTATCCTAACCCTTGACTTATAAAATTATGGTCAAATAACTATGAGTACCTTGTGAACATAATAATAAATAAAGCTTACATTTAGTCAGAATTTAATATATGTATATATCCCAATAATTGCAATAATCACTATAATTTTCCCCCCACTTTATTTAAACACCATGGTTCGCAAAGATTTGTTTGCATTTGTTTACAGACACTCAATATTCCAATACTAATCCCACCAACACTGACACCTTCTCTCCTTGCAATGAACACTTTAAAGAAGTTAATGAGGGAGCAGTATTATTTTGCTATGGTAAATATGAAGAATACGCAGCTCATAAAGCTTGTTTCTGTTCCAAGGTCACAGAAAAATGTGCTCCAACATAAACTATTTGAGTCTAATTTACAAAAAAAAAAAAAAACTTCAACACTGTAAAGGGCATTAGAAATGTTCTTAGGAAATAGCATTGGGAAGCATTGCCTTCTACCATGTAATTTTAGTCTTCTCTATCCAGAATGATGGAGGAGCAGAAGTTAACTATCCAGAACCAATATGCAAATACCAGGCCTTTGCATTTACTTTTAAATTGTAATGAGATGTTAAGGTAAATGTCTGCACTTTCATCAGCTTTGAAAATATTTTAATTCCATTAGAAAATATAGTAGTCATAGGTTAGCATTTAATGTGTTTTACTATCGATTTAAATATTATGGCTGCATCTGACACTGGAATTCAGGATGATTCTAAATGGCTTGAGTGTATCAGTGATAAATCATCATTATCTCTCTCCGGATCATTAACAAGCATCCCTTAAGAGATTAATTGTCTGGCATTCTATATTACATTAGAAATCCCTACCCTTTAAAAATTTCAGAGTCTATTTCAATGGCTCAAAGAAGAAAGCTTTACAATTTTTATTCATTACAGAAATATAGCAATGTCAACACAGAAATCATGTTTATATCATTTAAGTAAGAATTTACAAACTATTAATTTCAGAAGTATGACAGAGGTTTATTATAAATTTTCCTCAATGTTGATAAGTAGTACTTAAATAATAATTTAAAATTCTAGTTTTTAAGACAGAATCTTAACCACAAATACAAAATCTGTTGCCTGCTATTTATAGTGCTTCATTGTTATTGATAATGTTTCTAAGAATATCAATGGGTACTCAGTTCTCTTTCTGTTCAAGTTATTTTTATTCAGGAAAAATTCCAAAAGCATTAAGTCATGTGTGTGATCATTTTTATGACTCAAACTTTGCCACAGATAATTTCTAAGAGTACATTTACAACCACCAAAAATACATTACTATATCAGATTCATTATATCTTTGGTGACAGTGAATATTTTATTGTCTATGACTATTCAAAGTATTATGTGTCATCATCATAATTATATGGATTTTTAAGATACATTTGGGTACTAAGTTGAAAAACATTATATGAAACAAAATTTTGAGTGTCTTTATATAGGTGAAAAATTTCTGTCCAGATTTTTCTATTAAATACTGAGATGATAAAACTTGTTTAATACTGTGCTAGGTGCTGGAGCTCTTCTGCTGAATTTCCCATTTTCCCCTGTTCACCACAAAGTTATATTGGGAATTTATACATTTGCCCTACAGATGCATTCGTTACCTTTCTGTTTCACCATGGCTCTTCTCTCATTCTCCCCTAGGGAATTCCTAGCATGACACACATAGTTGCGTTTGAGATCCTCAGCGGTAACTTCCTTGATGATTAAAGTCTGAGTTTTTGTTTCATCTTCTGTTTTACTATAATGTACACTAGAAAGAAGAGAAAAGAAAATCAAAGTATTAGTAAGAGTCAGTGATCACGCTGGACAAGAAAAAAGGGCTAAAAGTAGGTAACAAGTTGGGGGCTGGAGCAGTAGCACAGCAGGTAGGGCAATTGTCTTGCACACAGCCGGCCGGCCTGGGTTCAATTCCCAGCATCCCATATGGTCCCTCGGGCACTGCCAGGAGTAATTCCTGAGTGCATGAACCAGGTGTAACTCCTGTGCATCGCTGGGTGTGACCCAAAAAGAAAAAAAAAAGTAGGTAAAAAGATATTCATGATAATCTTTTTAGTATCTGTATTGCAAACCACAATGCCCAAAAGGTGGGGGTGGGGGAGTGAGGGAAGGAGAAGGGGAGGAAGAAGGGGAAAGAAGAGGGAAGAGATGGAGGAGAGGAGAGAGAGAGACAGAGAGGAGAGAGGAGAGAGAGAGAAAAGTGCCTGTCATAGAGACAGACTGGTGGGGGGGGGCAGTGATGGGATGGAACCTGGGGACACTGGTGCTGGGAAATGTACACTGGTGGAGGAATGGGTGTTGTAATACTATATGACTGAAACCTAATCATGAATAGCTTTGTAAGAGTCTATCTCACAGTGATTCAATAAACTTTTTATTATTTTTTAAATAATGTTCTCTTGATGAGAGAGACAAAAATAATCATCTCACTTTTTGGAGGGAGGGCACACTGGAGTGACAACTGTGTCGTCTGTGACCCAGCTCTTTAAAAAGGAGAATAGTTTCTAAATTCCAATAGTATTCAATTACACTTTATACAGCAAACAATTCCAACGGCTTGGTCAGAGCATGGTATACTATGCGGTAGAACACACACTTCAGATCATCTCCTTTGAGGCAGGATGCTTGCCTGTATTAGAAATACATTTCTGATACCAGATCTGTTGGGTTTGATCCAGGCTTTGTGGCTGATTAGCAACGTACTTGGGGCAAAATACATAATCTTTCGAAGTCTCAAGTTTCTTATTTGAAAAAGGAGAGGGAAGAAATGCCTGTATAGTATTAAATTGGTGCAAAAATTCTGAAGATTTAATCAGTTTGTGTGTAAGAAGTAGGCAATAATATCACCCCACTGTAATAGTTGATGCATTTCAATCATATCCAATGCCTGGATTTTGAACACGGGTCAAATATCTTAGACAAAATACTGAAATCTCATGGCTATTTTCTAACATATAAAAAGGAAAAGAAGCTCAGAACAAGCCAAACATATAAAAATAAATATGTCTGAATCAACCAGGCCAGGGCACAAATTAAGTGCTGTGGGATCCACTAACAAGATTTTTAAATTTTTGTTTGTTTCTTTTTATCTCTTTTTTTTTGTTTGTTTTTATTTTAACACAAAAGTGGAGAAAAATAAAACCAATAACAACCCTCTTTTCCATGGCTGAGTACTCGCTTGTTTTCCCTCAAAGGCATGATAATTCGTGAAGGGCTGTGAAGAATTTAGCCTACAGTCATTTAGCACTACTCAACTATGAACAGTGAGTCTGTATCTCAGCAGCAGCAGGGAGGAGCAATCGGGGTTACATTACTATTCATCCATTATTCTTAGAGATTAGAAAGCACAATGTTCAGAATTTTTGAACTGATCAATAACTTGCCCCCTGTGCTTACAGTGACATCTTTTAATCAATATTTTCTGCAAAAAATGCTCTAATTTAAAAAAAATTTCTATATATTCCTATTAATATCCACTGGTACTCTAACCTCCAAGCATCTGTACATGATGTTCTTCTATGAGGAATATTGCTTCCTTTATTTTCCAGGCAGTTTTTATAAATCCTCAGTACCCAGGGAGAAACTATTTTAATGAGAACATGACCTGATACTCTAAAATGGAACAAGAACAATGTATAGGTACTTGATGAAAATTATTATTTTGTAATCTTTGCATAGTCTTAGTATACTACAAGAAAAAAGGTTTATCTTTGGATTTCTAGATGTTCAGTTAGCTTAAAATATATTTGCCCATTGATGAGAAGGCATATGATCTTGGTCTATTTTGTCTTGTAGTTGATTGCTTTTTTTTTCATTAATTACAGAAAATTAATTGTTCTTTTAGATTGTATGCTTCGTCAACAGAGACACTTTTTGTCTTGAAAAACCCTATTTTATTCCTTGTTGATATATTCCATTTTAAAATCAATCATATTTATTTAGGAATAAAAATATTCAGCTTGCTACTTTAATATATTACTGCAAGTTATTACTAGTTATGTATTCTAGCATTTAACTAGCTTATTGCATTTTAATTATAATGCTATATTATTATCCCACCCACTTTAAAAATAAAACTTAAAATTCTTGATATATTTAGGAAAGATTAAAGAGCAATGAATTTTTCAATGTGACTTATTTGTTGTGTGAAGAGAGAAACATAAAAAACACAAGCTCACTGCAAGACAGAAAGGTACCATGATTATCTGAAGTCCAGATTAAGACGTGAGAAAGAGAACAATGTTCCATGACAAACCATTCTGTGGCAACTTGATATTGTGACCCTTCATTTCACACAGGGTAATTATCCCATATACTTTCCTTCCAGAAGTAGCAGAAGTGTATGAGTCTTGCTGGGCTGAAGGCAACATGATGAAACACCTTATGGACCGCCTCTTAGGAAGAAGCCCAGTCTCAGGACAAATTCATTAAACTCTGGGCCTTGGTTTGCAAGCAAGTAATTCTACTTAGAACGGACACTAAAGAACTGAAAATCTTGCTGCTAGGCAAAATGTTAATTTTACTTTGATTGATTCACATACACCCAAGGGTATTAGATGGTGGGGGACAAAGCTTATTCACCACCTGAACTGTGCCGGTATTACCTCTCATTAATAGCTATGTCAAAAGAGGTGTCCTCTGGCTTTTTTCCATCAACGGTCCACCAAATCTCATTGCGAGAGTTATTCAGGAAACTGAAATAGACTTTACATGGAATGTGTAGATCTTCTCCTAAAGCAAACAAGCAAAATAAAAATGACTTAACTAATCAGTCTGTAATCTTCAACAAAGGAATAATATTCGTTCTCCTTTGTGACAAATCAGAAATTAAAAGTTACATATGCTTAAAACTCTTCATCTGAATATTTTAAGTGGATCATCATAAAGTAATCCATCATGCTTTGGTTCACCTGAGGTTGATAGTGCCCTCAGCAAGTTCATTCCAAAACAAAAGACTAAGAAAGGAGGTCAGTCACTTTTTAGAAGACTAGCAAAAAGATACAGCATCTTAATATGATCTATTTAAAAATCTTTGCTTTTGGGGCTGGAGCGATAGCACAGCAGGTAGGGTGTTGCCTTGTACGCGGCTAACCCGGGTTCGATTCCCAGCATCCCATATGGTCCCCTGAGAACCGCTAGGAGTAATTCTTGAGTGCAGAGCCAGGAATGACCCCTGTGCATTGCTGGGTGTGATCCAAAAAGCAAACAAAAAATTGCTTTAATTAATCTATAGTACAATCTAAACCGACATTTTTTAAAAAAAATAAGGATCTGATACTATTTGTTTTAGCACTAAACTTTCATAATCTACCCTCCTTTTTTATTATTTCCACCAAAACCCAGAAAGGTCTTTGTTCCATGCCCCAGGACGAAGCAGCAATGCCATAACTGAGAAAATCAGTAGGATCTGCCACTTCTTGAAACTTTCATGTCATCTGGATGCATTCAACAAGCTGAAAGACAATTTGACAAGAATTCTGCAAGAATTCTGAGAGGGATGTTAGAATGGCTCCTTGCATCATTGTCATCACCACTATCATCATCATCTCCATCATCATCACCATCATCATCATCATCATCATCATCATCATCATCATCATCATAACATCATCATCATCATCACTTCAGGAAAACATTCACTGATAGCTTTAAAATTCAGGGAATGCCCTGCCACAGAGGCAGGTTGGGTGGGGGTTGGGGGGTGGGAGGGATACTGCAATTCGTGGTGGTGGGAAATGGGCACTGGTGGAGGGATGGGTATTTGATCATTGTATAATTGAAACCCAAGCACAAAAATTTGTAAGTCTACAACTGTACCTTATGGTGTCTCAATAATAAATAAATAAATAAATAAATAAATAAATAAATAAAATTCACTTCCCTTAAATATAAATAAAATTAAATATAATGATGATATTTTTAGTTTTCTTTTTAAGACATTTGGTAAAATCTTTTTTTTAAATTATATTTTGCTGATGTAAAAGCTGGGAGTTTAAAGATGTTTAGTGACATTTTTCGATCAGATAATTTACTGGCAAGGGTTTGTCCTAGACTGACCTTCTAATACAGGTTTCCTTGGAGAATTCTATCTTATACTTGTTTCCTCATTAGTTATTAATATTGACTGTTTTCACAACAAAAAGTGGCTGGATTGAGGTGACAAATTATAATGTCATCATAATGTGAACTCGTTTATCTAACTGAGAGACCAGACTCTTATTTTTCTCCACTACCTGCTTCTCATGTCTTTCTAGTTTTCTACATAAATATGTAGTATAATGCAAAATGAATGTGAGTTCAGGAATTTAAATAATAGGTATAGGAAGCATATTTATATGATTTATAAGGTTTATCTTGAAAATAGAAAAATGTGCTCATATCATTATAGAGATAGAAATAAGTCTATAAAATTTGGTCCATTTAGAGTTGGGAGATCTTTTTTTTTTTTAAAGGAAGCTCACTCTGAAATTTTATTTAAATTTGGGGTGTGGGATATATTATCCACCTATATTGATGATGCTTCTATTATCATTAGTACATTTTAAACACATGTTCTTTAAAAATTCTCTTTTGGTTTAGAGTAAATTTGTTGTAAATTATACAACAGAGAACATGTTAAAATCTTTCTATAGGTTCTCACTTATCTGGGGGATATTGTGAGTCAGAAGAGTAATACATTATGTCTTATTTTGTTTGTTACAAAAAAGACTATATTCATTAAAAATTAAATTAAAAATACAACACATATAGACATAGTAAAGATTTGATAGACTCTAATCAATGTACTATTGGATTAAGAATTCGTCACTCAGATCTACTCGCTGACTGTCTGTGGTGAAGCAGAAGATTAAAGTATCAGCTTTGGAAAACCAAATCTCACACAAGCAAAAGTTTGACACAAGCAGAAATCACTAGAGCAATAATCTGCTAGCAGTTACAGAAGGGAGCAACTCCTAGAGAGAGACCATCCCTGAGCATCTCATGGGTGGATGAACAAGTTCATCCCCAAAGTTGCCTTGGTTTCATACATCGCAGTTTCAATTCATGCTACCCAATAACTCTCTTAATTATGTATCAAGTGGCATTTTAGTTCTTGAAATTAAGACAATCTAACTGAAATTCAGAGACATAGCTGTAATTACCAGGCTCTTTTTCATAAACTACATGATCATTAGGTGAGTAGAATTGAGGGGGCAGTGCATCTTTTGGAGAACCTATGAAAAAGGACAAAAGAAAATGATGTTGAATATGTTGGCTTTATCTCACATGATCCATCTCAAAAACATAATCTTCTATAGAGCCTTGCTCAACTTCCTGGCATAGTGTATCGATTCTTCTGGAGGGGACCATCAGTTAAATATATGCTCAATTGCAACACTTCATTATTGCCATATAAGCAAAGAAAAAAGCATGATGTACTTAGTATCCACTAATGAATGTGTAAACAGAATATTTACTTTCTAAAATTGACATGGGTAGAATTCACATACAATCTAATAATGAATTGCTTGCATGTCTAACTGAATTGTTTCTACATATCCATTCAACATACCTAAAGTACTTAATTCTAAACATTTAATTAATGAATGAACAAACTCAAAAATCACAAGGCCAACAATGTAAAGCTGCCTGATGTTTAGATCCATGGAATGTTCATTTATAGAACTACTTTTACATGTGGTAAGCTATATTCCTAAAATAAAATTTAAATACCCTTAAAGGACCTTATAGGGGTGTGGGCTTCAAACATTTACTGTCTATGGTCTAAATCTTTATTGAGACACATACTAACCATGTGGCTCTGTTCTATACTGTCTTTAAAAAAGCAAATTATCCTCAACTCTAAAATGAGGATAATTAAAATTACCTCATGGGTTCACTGTTAGTGTCAAACTAACTAATGCTTTATAAAACATCCACTACTGAGATGTAAAAGACATTCAATACTTCAAAGCTTCAAAAAATAAAATAGGATTGTCTGAGAGTGGGGTAAGGGTTCCTTCTCCATCTGTCATCTGCTAAATCCATAAATCAGGGTGATCCAGCTTGTCTGTTCCTAACTTTTCAAAAACATATCCATTTAAGTATGTGTATATGTGTGTGTGTGAAGACGTCAAGATTTATGTAACTCATTTGACTTTAAAAATCCATTTATGTTAGGTTCTAAATTTGGTTTACTTCCGAATTGCTCACCAACTCAGAATCTTTCTGAGAGTTAGCAGAGAGAAGTGATTACAAAATTGATTTTTATTAGAAATAAACTGTTCTTTACAAAACGAATTCTTATGGACACTATCTGAAAAGTGTCCTTAAAATCTTTTCTTAATTTACGTTGCATCCAATGGCAGATCAGTATAAAGTGTCCCAAGCAACTAGTTAGAAACGTGCGATTTATGATTGCTTATTTCACTAACTTATGGAGTGTTTCAAGCAGCTATTGTCTCTCACTGAGACTTAATGTTTCCATCTAGTAGAAAACAAGGTAAGATAAAAATCTTATTTTGATGTATTGTCATTTTTAAATTATTTTGACTTTTTTTTTTTGCTTTTTTGGGTCACACCTGGCAATGCACAGGGGTTACTCCTGGCTCTGCACTCAGGAGTTACTCCTGGCGGTGCTCAGGGGACCATATGGGATGCTGGGAATCGAACCCGGGTCGGCCGTGTGCAAGGCAAACGCTCTACCGACTGTGCTATTGCTCCAGCCCCTTATTTTGACTTTTTATTTATTTCGGGGGTGGGAGAGAGGCAGCTGGCACAGCTGTGAGTGCTCAGGGCTTATTCCTGGATTTGCACTCAGGGATCACTTCTGGTGGAGCTTGGGGGAAAGGTCATTCATTCTAGTGACCTTATAGGGAGCGGGGTAAGCCACATGCAGGTCTGCTGTACTATTCCTTCAGTCCATAATATACTATCATTTTCAATGAGGTAGATATGATATTCAATGAGGTGCTATTTAGGAATCTTCTCTAACTGCCACCTACCTGACACTGTTTCTCTTGATTTCTGGCTTTGATAGGGCTCTGTTGACTCTTCTTAGATGTTATCTTTTCTACTTTTCACATTACTCATCGCTTATTCTCAGTGAAAAGGAAAGATTGAAACACTGATAACACATATATTAGTAATTAACTACAGTATTTCTGGATCATGTATTTTGCTCCTGAATGATGTGTTTTGAAAGAGACAGTCTACTTTTTTTGACAAAATATTAACTACTATGCACTGAGTCTATACTATGTGCCTGGAACCTTATTAGGATATTATGTGCTTTGCTTATATCTCCAACTATCTTGAATGGTATAGTCCTACTCCTCGTATAAGCAGAAGAATGTGACTTGATCAGATTCACGTTGTTCGTAACTGCATTGGTATAACTTAAATACAGGTCTGACTAGCACTCCATTGCTCAAAGTATCTTTCTTTCATTCATTCAATAATTCACCCAGTAGATCAACAGTTATGCCTACTATGTATCGAGCATTGATGGAAACTTGGGAGATCATAAAGTAAACAAAAATATCACATACTTTTCTTCCAGAATTCATACTCTTGTTTGGAAAAAAATATTGAGAATAGAAACAAAACTGCTGTAATTTTTTTTTTCTGTGTGTGTGCATGTGTATGTGCTTATGCTTACCTACTACCTTTATAGTCATAGTTCTGGTGAGATGGAAAATACGCCCATTTTCTGGATATGTTACGACACATGTGTAATCTCCATTGTTTGAAACCAAGGGTAAGAGAAAAGTCAAGCTCATGCCTTTAGGTAATACATTAACAAAGTTATGTATTTTACGACAACCCTAAAGGAAGTAAAAAAAAAAACATTTACCATTTAGATACTTGCATTGCAAATACACAAACATATTCACACTCAAACCTAATTTTGCACAGAACATGCAGATATCTAACACAGCTGAACTTTTCACAAAACTTTTGGTGAGGTATTTGGTAGTGTTCTGTAAAGAATGAATGTCATACATTTCTTTACCCTTTCTAAACAGCAAGAAAAATTAATTTAAGTACATTAGGAATTTTATGAAGTAAGCCTATATATATATTAAAAATAACATAACATAGCAACAGCATGCTGTGCTTTAAAAAACCAACAACAACCATTTTCTATTAATTAAGAAATCTTGTCACCATGTTTGATAAGCCCCATTCCAATTTAAGTGTCTGGTTTTGTGTTTTTTGATAACCTTGTTGAGTCACCATATTAACAATTGCCAAACATTTCTATTGTTCTATTTATTTTATAATTGTGTGCTCAATATTTCAAAATATAAAATATTTATTGATAATATATTAAAAACAAATCAGAATTTATTTGTTCCCCAATTTCTATTTTCAGATAAATTGATTTTTTAATTTTAATTTAAAAATTAATTTTAATTCAATTACCTTAGTTTACCAGCCTAAGGTAGACTGGGAACCATTCCCAGAAATATTCAGCCTGGTGAATATTTGGGCCCAGTGGTTAGGTGCTAAGGCCTATTAACTTCTAGTACCATCAGTGCTAGGAGTCCATGTTGTACCTTGGATTGTTCTACCACTCTGAGCTATCTGCTGACCTGATTTTTAATATTTTTATATTGAAATGTTTAAAAAAACTTGTATCCTATTTTAAAACCTTTAGTCTCACTAATTGTATTATTATAGACTAATTGTCTATATTATTATATATTAATAATCTGAAGCTGAACTTTTACTTTCAGGAAAATGATATTTAAATTTTTGTTCAAAATAAACAATAATAAGATCATTAGGTCATCTCTAAGGATATTAAAATGCTAAAAATTCTTGAAAACTACTGTTATCTTGAAGTATTACTTTTCTATACTCATATATTTAACTTTATTTTTATACTCAGAACATTATTTTTACTTTAATTGCTGGAGAATGTTTTGAAGGGTGACAGTAAACTAAGAGGGATGTTTTGTAATTCTTTGTCATAGGAAACTTGTCACTTAATAATACTACACTTACGATTAATGAAGATGATCAAGAGGGAGCTAATATATGCTCAATTAAGTTATTTTCTGAATGTAATTTATCATATTGTGATAGGCAGAGTTTCTAAGCATTTGTCACATCAACATAAGAATTTAGCATTCTTTAGGATATTACAACATATTTAGGATATTACAACATATTACTACAAAGGCTTGCATTCTTATAAATTTATGTCAGATTTGTTGTGCATTTAGAGTATATATATATTTTGATATTTTGATTTTTGACTATTTGATATTTTGTGTGGTCCCTTACAACGAAACAGTTGTTTAATAAATGAAAGAGTAAACATAATCTTTCATTTGTTAGCTAAGTGGTTCTTCAATCTCTTATGAAGTAGAAAGATCAGAATAAATGTGCTCTAATTTTACAGCTAGAAAAAAGAATGGGACAGATAATGAAATACTTTAAATAACAGAACAGAGCTGAAGTTTTCCAGAGAACCAAATAAAGGAAGAACTTTAAATGGTGTTTTGACTAGGAATGAACACTTCTAGCCATGAGTTCAGGCTAGAAAAATCATATTGAGACACGTGCTTGCAGGTAATTCCATTACATTATTCTACCTTTATTTCAAACTTGGGCTGTAGTGGTAGCACAGTGGTAAGGCATTTGCCTCGCGCACAGCCAGTCCGGCTGAGCCAGGTTCAATTCCTCTGCCCCTCTCAGAGAGCCTGGCAAGCTACTGAGAGTATCTCACCCACCGGCAAAGCTTGGCAAGCTACCCGTGATGTATTCAATATGCCAAACACAGTAACAACAAGTCTCAAAATGGAAACACTACTGGGCCTGCTCGAGCAAATCGATGAACAATGGGAGGACAGTGCTACAGTTCTACAGTGCTACTTCAAACTTTGATAAATTTTAATCCTCTAATTCTCATTTTATCATTGAGAGTATAAAGACTTGAAAAGGTTAAGAGATTTGCCAATGCCATTGAGTTAGAGAAAATCAGAATTATAAATGAATTTAGACCTACAATTTTGGAGACTTTGCTTTTAATTTTTTTCAGATCCTATATGCTGATCCCCCACACAGGCAATGTCGGAGCCAGCTTTTTTATGATTATTATTTTGTTGCTGTTGTTTGACTGGGGCCCACAATCAGTTATGTTCATGACTTACTTTTGGTTTTATGCCCAGGGAACACTCTTGTGGTGCTTAGGTGAACATATTTAGTGCTGAGGAACAAGCTGGGGTACAGCCCATGCAAAACAACACCATAAGTCAAGAAATATCTCTCCTACTTCTCGACTTAAGTATTCAAAGTAAGATGCAACTTTATCAATGATAGGCAGATAATTCCTGCTCTCAGGGGCACACTGAAAAAATATACTTTGCAGAAGGAGAAGTTTGCTCTTCAAACTGAATTTGTCAGCAGTAATTCTTTAGGGGAAGTGATCTTCCCAAGCAGTGCTCAGAAGAATTGGAAGACACTGCAGGAGATATTTGAATCAATTGCTCAGTACTGGGACAGATAATGTTCTGTTTGGACAAGTGGTGCCAAGGTCACCAGAACCACAGTGGAGCTACTTGGGAGAACATGCATTGTCAGATCTCAATTTGGGTCATAATGAATGCCAGGCTTGTGTTCCAACCCTTTGAGCTGTCTCGCTGGCACCAAAAACACTTGACACATAAAGAGTTCTTTTATCTTGTCACATGTGATAAGATTTTTCCATTTCTTTTAAGCAGCAGCATTTACAGACCCTTTGATACATACAGCTAAGACACACAGGACATTTTAAAATATACTATACCAATCAAGCTCTCACAATTCGCAGATGGTATAATACTATATTTAGAGAACCCCAAAGCCTCTACCAAGAAACTCCTCGAAACAATAGGCCTGCATAGTAAAGTCGCAGGCTATAAAATTGAAATACAGTAAAACTTTACTGAAAATAAATACTGTAGGTTTTACGATTTCAAGCAAGTTATTTGGAATCCAGAAAAAAATGAAATGTACAAAACATGTCCATATAGGGAAAAAAATGAATGTTAAAACATGTCCACATAGGAAAAAAATGAATGTTCAAGTGTGGATGAAGCAAACACTTGTCTAAACTGGAAGATGAGTCATCCTTTCAGTTGACCCATAAGTTCCTCATTCTGTTCTCTAAAGAGAGAAGTTAAGCAGGAGAAAAACTATTTTTTTGTTGGTGGGGGCTGTTGCAAACAATGATCAGGTGCGTTTGGGACTAACTCTTGGCTCTGTGCTAAGAGTCATGCCTGGCTGTTGTGGGAAGACCATTATGAGATGCCAGGAATTGCACCAGGGTTTTGCAATACGCAAAACAAGTGCCTTAACCTCTACACTATCTCTCTGGCCCAGGAAAGTCATATTTTAGCCTCAAATTGATTGCCATGGAAACCTACTATAAAGTACTAAACCTACTATAAAGTACATACTATAAAGTATGTATGTCTTGCATACAAAAAAATAAAAAAACCAAAGCACAAGAAATGACTTTGATATCTCTGAGAGAAAATAAACGATGAGTTGTCCAGTGTGGGTGGGCGGGATGTAATGAATAAGAAAGTGCAAATTTTTTTTTCAGAATAAGTCTGTAATTTATAAATAACTTTGTAAAAACATAAAAAAAACGGAAAAAAAAGAGTTTCTAATATAAAGGTTTTGTGGAACATTATAATAACATGGAAGGCATATTGTGACATGGAAGAAAAATCAAAACATTTATAAAAATGTCTATAAAAGGATAATTTAAATCAGATTTTAAAGGATAACTGGAATATTAAGAGTTATTTGGGAGGAGGAGATATAGGGGAGTAACACTCTAGGCTCAGAGAAAAAAAAGTGTGAACAATCTCTTCATACTCTTAAACACTTTGGCCTCCATGGTAATTATATTACTTAATTTAGTACAATAGTTTCTTTTCATGTTGATTTTCTCCTTAGAAAATTGACTCCTGCTGGGGCAAGAGGAGAGTGAGATAGATAAACTATTGTTCATACAGGTTCAGAACCTGTATGAACAATAGTTTGCCCATTACTTGACATTACAATACATTCAGTACATTCATCTTGCATAATAAAAATATGAAGAAAAACAGAGCAGAAGACATGAATTTGAAAGCTCATACATTTTCAAATGATAGTTAAAACATGGATGTATGGAATATAAGACTGGGGTGTGTTAAGTTGTAGAAGAGGTAGGAAAGTAGAAGTAAAAATTTTAAAAATTCAACAAAGATATTACAAGAGAAAAGCAATATATTTTGAAATTTTTATATCCATATTTTAGTAGGCATAAAATGATCCCAGCAAAGGCTTGTTGAAGTTCTACATAGCAAATACTTCGGGTGGGGGTGATGCTTGGTGGTTACTCCTGGCTCTGAACTAAGGAATTACTCCTGGTGGTGCTCAGGAGGATCATATGGGATTCCAGGGATTAAACATGGGTCAGCCATATGCATGGCAAGCACTGCCCGCAGTCTTATTTCTTCAGCCTATAAACCAGATACTTTAAATGACTCTAAGTCATTTGGCATTTAGGCCCTAACTGTTGACAAAATCTTTGTGTCAATTTGGTGTTAGGAGCTGAGCACAGAGTAATTAAAAAAATAAAAATGTCCCTTATTACCATGCAATTTTTCCAATCCAATGTAATTCATTCAATTATTTTGTCAATTCTTAAAAGCATAATATATTGACTAAGTTTTTGCTGTATGATTGGTAGTCAAGGAAAAAGAAAAAGAGAACCAGCTACTATATAAGACAGATGCAAGAAATGCAGTCAGGATAGTAAACAAAGATGAGATATAAA